GTAGACATCATTTTGTTTTTGGTGGGGTCCAGTGTCACTTTACAGTAACTATATGAATGTGTGTCATCTTGAAAAATTTAGAACAACAGAACTAAAATATCCAGATGTGCAACAGTTAGAGAGAAAAGACTGATTAGCTGCATGAACAAAAAATGGTAACATTGAAAATCAAAATTGAAGTCATTGAAACTGAGCAGCATTAGATGATTTCTACATTGACAAAATCACAGGCATAATGAATTAAATATACAATAGTGATGATAAGGAAGACCTAAATCAATCCATTTTGATAGCTCTGTCTGAGAAACCAGGTACAAATGAATGTGAACTTCATGAGACAATCAGCCTAATGAGCCGTATAACAAAATTCTGATGAATAGAGTGAGCAACAGAATCAGACTGAAAATAGGGCAAGAACAATGTGGTTTTGTTAAAGATACTGGAACAAAGAATGCAATATTTACACTCAGAATTATATCAGAAAGAGAAATACAAATGTAGAAGGAGGTGTACCTGTATTTTATAGATTATGCAAAAGTGTTTGATAAAGTACATCATAAAGAACTGTTAGGTAACATTAACATATTTGGGAAGGATATTAGATTAATCCAGAACCTGTACTGGCAGCAAACTGCCTGCATATGGATAGAAAATGAGTTCAGTCAACATACAAGAATAGATAGGGGTGTAAGACAAGGATGTGTTTTTTTCACTGGAATTATTATTATTCAATGTATTTAGTGAAGTGATTCTGAGTGAATTAGAAGTCCTACTTGGATTCATTATTGGCAGCCACAATCTTAACATAAAATATGTAGATGACAGTGTTGATAGCAAATATAGAAAGGAAGCTACAAGAACTCCTCTGAAGGAAAGCAAGGAAAATTGTAAAAACATAGAAAGCATGGTTGTTAGCAAATGGAACAGCCCAACATGCAAATTACAAATAAGAGATACCAAAATCAAGCAAGTACAACAATTTAAATATCTGGGAAATGTTTGAGGATGGAAAGTGTAACACAGAAATTCAAAGGTGCATTGGAATAGGAAAAATTGCCTTCCAAAAGCTAAGTAAAGTGTTAAGAAGCAGGAAAATTTCATTACTAACAAAGAAAAGAGTATTGAACTGTGATATAATATCAATGCTCCTATATAGCAGAGAATGCTGGACAATGTCTGTGCAAATGAAGAAGAGACTTGAAGCAAAATAAAAGTGGTTCTACAGGAGGATGCTGAGGATAACATTGGCTGAACATCTTGGTAAGAGATATTAGAAATTTTTAAGGCACAATGAAGAAAGCAAGCTAGGAAAAGTTGATACTCCCAGGACAGACTGAAGACAAGTTGGACAGAGAAAAACAATGCATAACTTATGTAGCAAGCTTAAGTAAATGGATGGCAGAACAGAATTTATTAAGAGCTATAAAGGGCAGGATATTGTGTGGAGCCATCATCAACTTTCTGAAGGAATACAGCGTGTAGAAAAAAATATTTGAGACAGATGTAAATTGCAAGCAGTGTTATAACGTACCAACAGGAGTTGCTTCCCTTTATCATTAGATAATTTTGTTTTGTTAATCATGTTTTAGCGATTATTTAATTATAAATTTACTGATAACATCAAAAAATGACGATATTTAAGTAGTTTTGCAACTGCAATACATTTATAAAATGCCATAAAATATTTTTCTTACATTTTCTTGTTTATGTTCAATAATTCATGAGTTTTAAAATAGCATTATTCACCATTGAATAATTATGATTTATAATGATGAAAATGTTTTTTCCTTTAATGACATGGTATTTCAGATACTCATGATTCTCCCTTTGTTTTTATTATCTGTGAGTTGTCATGACTTTTTGGGAAAGATTGTAGCTGGTTTCCTGCTGCTTTCTTTATGGTTATGAATTCAGAGTGCTACTTCTTATAAGCCAGTTACCACCCACGACTAGAAATCTACCTTGCTATTAAACTCCTGACTGGGGAGGAGAAGAGATAGATTAATGTCTTACCCATGAGTGTTAGTGGTTTATCTGTGCTTTGAGAGAAACTGAAAGCAGACAGCTCTCTTGGGGAAATATTCCAACAGATATCCTTTGCTGACTTGGTTTTGCTATCCTCTGTTTATTGAAATAAACTAAGCTAGATGAAGTGTGACTGAAGCAGCCACATAGATAGGATTTAGCACCATTTAACTGCAGAATGATAGGGCCAGAAAGTTGGAGCACTATCTCTGAAGTGTCTGCTGCTCCAGGTTTTTCTCAGAACAGACCTCAGTGACAGTTTGTCTTGACCGGTGTGGCATATATATATATATATATATATAGGTCTTGTTATAGACCATTTTAATGTTCAACAATGATTATTTGATTGATTTTATTTTTGACCCCTAATTGCCAACATTTAATCTATGAAATATCAAGAGCCAAATATAATGGTTTAAAATAAAAAGTAATATTGAAAAGGGGGGTGCACACCATATTTTTTTTCATTGGCTCGAATTAATTTTCCAAAATATTTAAAGATTTGATGGTAACCAAATTTGTGATTAGTAACACCTTCATGAAGAAAATAATTATCCTTTATTTTGATAGTCTTTCTTTTTTAAGATTCAGAGCTTTTAATTCATATTGTTTTCAATTTCAAATTTCTTAATGTTTGAAGTAATCTGGAATTTTTTCATGTAGCAATTTCCTAGAATAGTTCCTTGCATACAATAATGTATTTTGTTTTTTAATCATATTCTCAAAAGTGTGGTTATTGTATTTAGATGGAGGGTCAAGGATGGAAAAAAAAAATGGGAAGGATGAAAAGGAAATAATTTTTTTTTTTTTTTTTTCTTCAGTGGATGATTAACATGAATGAAAATGAGATAAGTGTAAGCAGAATGTGATGCTTGAGCGTGCATGTATGTCTCAGTGAGGGGAATCAAATCAGTACTTACCACATCAAGCCAAGCACGCTGCCATATTCCTGATCAGATAGAAATTTTGGCTGTGTTTGCTTCCTCTTTTTTATGGAAGTGCACATTGCCAGTGAACCGGAAGTCATCAGGGATTGGACAATAAATTGCTGAGAAGAGTCGCATGGTGTGTAGTTGGAAAGATGGAAAAAAATTGTGGCTAACAGAATGTACACAAGTTGATACCTGATCAGTATTGGCTGGGTTACCATGGAGAGAGGGTATGATTTTGAAAGACCTGAAACCCCTAATGAACCTTGGCTAGAAACATTACTGATGATGTGTACTAAAGCATCCAATAGATGTATTTTATGAAATACCAAAAGAATTTTGTTTTTTCACTGTCAATTCTTTTGGTTTAGACAAAACTCTAAAAGTGTTATCTGTGTATAAACCATATTTTTATGTAATGAGTAACATGGGAAATTTGTGTTGCTTTAGTCCTTTGATTTAAAAGTAAATCTACTAATAAAACTTAGCACAGCATTTAAGGCTGAAATACTGGAATTTATGTATATAGATGTCTATCTATCTGTTAAATAGGCAATGTTTGTCTATCTATCTGTATACATGTGTTATTGAATATGACACAAGGAATATTTTTATGTGGTTTCTCTTGTTTACATGCAAGAACAATAAACAGTTTCCACATGAACCAGTCATTTACTCCCTTGTAGGAGAAGGAAAATTACTTTCAAATGAATTACCAAAATATTCCTTGACCTTTGTATTCAATAATACTTTTGTATCTATAGACATATAATTTTATTGTTTAAAATTTACTTTATTTATTGGGAAAGTGTGTTTCTCATTGGAGATAAGGTTTATTGTTATATGTGAATATATATGCACACACACACAGAGATGTAATATTGATAGTAAATATTCCTTATTTAGAAAATGATAGCAAAGATTTATTTTGTATATATTTTTTTTACTTAGTTGACATGTGGGAGGACAATAAAGTTTTTGAGAAATTAAATTTTTGGTGGCTCTTGCAGCCTTTGTCAGTGTTTGACATTGTATAGCCAATTTACAAAACACTTCATTATCAAACACTGACAAAAGCTACTGGAGCAGCTGTACATTTTGTAATTTCCCATATGTATGAATGTATAATACTTTTCTCAGTGCACAGATACTACACTCTGATCCACATTTTAACTCCCTCTCTACCTCACAGTCATAGTATGTGACACATAATTGGTTTCACATGGTATAACCACATGCATACAGTTAGGCTAAGGACAAACATTGCCCAAAGTAATTGTAATGCAGATGTCAAAATAGTCCAACTCTTCCCTCTTTGGAGCAATATAGAGATGCTATCACCAGCTTGTAATTACTGAGATCAGGCCTCTCTTATTGTTATGCCCTGAACTTCCCCAAAATAAGAATATGGTGCCATATTTTGCACCATTGTACGATGACACGGAAGAGATCAATACTTTGATACTAGGCTGAATGCACAGATGGTATGTTGATCCTCTGTAGGAATACTAATCCATATGTAAATAATTCAAACATTTTTTTATGGGTATATGCTAGTATTGCTATAAAGGGTAATGCTGAAAAGTTATTGACTCGACCCACTCTTCAAAATCTAACCAAATGACCAATAATCAGAGATTTTTTTTTCTTTTTTTTTTTTGAAAGAGCTTCTTGAACAGGTTGAAAACTTTTCATCAATCCTTTGTATCATCTTTTTTATTTCTGGAAGTAATGTTAGAAATACTATGAGAGACTGTTATCAATTCAAGAATTCTGGAGAATAACAGGAAAGACTTATTAAATATATATTATTCACTTGATTAAAAAAAACAAAACTTTTTAATATCATTTGTCTATGCACTGTTAACTTCTGAATTTTGAAACAGTTGCATGTTTTTCTAATTCTGTAAGTAAAACAACTCACTAACGTATTAAAAAGATTTTTAATAATAATGAGTTCTTTTGCAAATTTATTGTTTAAACTTTTCATCTTAGTTTGTTTAAGCTGTAAGATTTTGTTTTATTCATTCAATTCTCTTGTTTCAGGCCTGATGCAACTCGTAATCAGCATTATGCTAAGAAATACCAAACTGCCTACAAAAAAGAATTAATGAACCAGTTAAGGGTAAGTGGAGATAAATCAACATATTCTTGATCATTAGCTTTCTGATTTTAATAAATTTATAACTGTTCAGCACCAGTTTTCTAGTTTCAAAACTTTGTTAGATTAACTATTTTTTAGATTAACGTTATAAAGTAGATAATAATAACAAAGTACTATTCGATCAACCTTTGATTTTCATCAGTATTTTCATCATCTTACATACTTTTAATGATTATTTGCTGTTTGGAATTACTGTTTACATGGCATTTGTTCTTTTGATTCTTTATTTTATCAACACTTGCTGAACAAGCAGTTTATTATTTTTTAAAGTTCCTTCTCTTGAATTAAATGCTTATGTAAAGGGGTGTGAGAATAAGAGAGGAAACAATTTTGTAAACTAGTTTAACATGTTTTGTTGATGAACCAGTGTTATCAGAAACCTTTTCTGATGGCACTGTTTCATAAGTGAAACTTGTCAAAGAAGTTTTCAGAATTGTTTTCTGCAGTTACCATTTATGCTTAATACAACCATTGGCAGTTCTCAAAGGTTAAAAATAAATAAAATGGCTTTCTCCTCTTTGGGTCAACTGCTGATGTATTAATGGTTATTGCTGAAAGAGTCTATCAAGCTTTAGATAAGAATGGTGAAGCTTGGGTTGTTGCTTTGGATATCTTGTAGGCATTTGACAGGGTTTGGCATACTGTTCTTCTTCACAAATTGAAAGGTTATGTTATTTCTGGATGAAATGGAAGTTGTCATGAATGGTCAATTTCTAGATCTTTTTACATTAATGCAGATGTTCTCCAGGATTGTATCCTTGGACATCTGCTGCTTTTAATTTTCATAAATTACCTTCCTGATGTCATCAGTACACAACATGGTATCTATGCTGATGACACGACTATTTATTCCTGTTTTAATAGTAAGTCTGATAGGTTCGATAAGGTAAAATTGGTAGCTGATCTCAAAAATGACCTACAATCCATTGTTAAATGGGGCAAAGAGTGGCTTGTTAATTTTCACACTTTCAAAATGAAACTGCTTACTTCTAATCATCAGAACCCCATTTACTTTTCATTAGCATGGCTGATGCTAACCTTCAGGTGAGTGACTCATTGTGTCTTCTTGGACTAACCTTTTCAGCTGACATGAAGTAGAAAAAGTATATTGATTTAATTGCTAAGTCTGCAGCTAAGAAAGTTGGTTCACTATGTCATGCTAGACAATTTTTCTTGCCAAAATCTCTCACATATTTATAAGTCTGCCATTTTCCTTTTTTTAAATTTTGGTACCACATCTGATCTGGTGCTCCTACTATATATTTAAAGATTCTTGATAAAATCCAAAGAATCTGCAATGTTATTGGCCCTGACATGGCATCTCAGCTTCAGTCCCTTTTCCACTGCTGTAACGTAGCTTCTCTGTGGTTCTTCTATAAATACTTGGTAATTGTTCTGATGAAGTTTTCTCTATTGTACCTAGACTTTATGAATTTAAGTGCGGTACTTGATTTATTTGGCAAGATGCAACTGTAAGTTTTATGCTAACAGTTTCTTCTATCGCACTTCTTGCTTGTGAAACCCTTTTCCGGCTTCTTGCTTCCCAGTGAACATTGCATTTAAATTTTTGAAGATAATGTCAATCGTTATCTTCTGTCTTCCTAATTCTTGTTCTTTTATTGTTCTCTCTCTTTAATGGTAGTTTTTCTCATATTCTCAGTAACCCCTTGCATCTTAGTGCAATTATTGCCTTGTTTGGCATGAAATAATTAAAAAAGAAGAAAAAAATAAATATTTCACAAGATTGAGAGATTACCAGCAATATTAATATTGTTATCCATCTAAATAAATCTAATTTCAAATGAATTTGTTATTTTGTCTGGACTAAAAGTGGGTTGGAACTTTATTGCACACTGGAAAACAAAGAATCTAAAAAAAACTTTTTTCTTTTCAAATGTTCAATATTAAAGGCTGTTTGTTAATTAATTTTCCATTTTTGAACTTTGCTCCTTGTCTTCATTTTGTTCTCTGACTATTACAGTGACTAATACCTCCTTCCCAGCAATACTATTTAGTCTCTGGAGGAATTTTGTTATTTTCTACTCATTGACACAGATGTGAATTATTATAATAATATATGTAACTTTTAAATTTTTTAATGGCCAGTTGTTAAACATGTTGGAAAGTTTGTAGTGGGCTGATTTGGCAAAACTGAATACCATTTCTTTTCTCTGAACATATTTGTATCTGATTGTAACAAATTATGGTCACCTTAACCATAATACAATGTCTTTCACTCACAACAGCTTTGACTTTTCAAATCAAAATTTACTCTTTGATATTAATCAACTCCTGACCATTTTTGCATCCTGATCATCAGCTGAACAGAACTTGCAGGAAGCAATATTTGTAGTTGTGACAGTAGTCTTAATTCAACAATTGTACAAGAAATTCATGTTTTATTGAGCATTTTATAAGATTGAAATTCTTTGTTAAATTTTTATTGTTACTAGAAACATTTCTTCTATATAGGCATAAATGTTTTTGTGATTCAAATAATCATTTGAAAGAATGCTCCATTTATTTTTTCTTTTCCTGTAGGATACTGACAGTGATTTAGATGAAGGACCTCTGCATCAACTTGAAGATGACACTCTTTATGCTGGATCCGTTAACAATTTTCAAGATTTAAGGTCTTTGAATCCAGATGCTTATAAGGGTTTCACATTCAGTAACACTTCTTGCATTTTACCAGTTGAGGAACAGAAAGAGAAAGTGAGCAATTATTTCTTTTCTTTTTTTTTTGTTAAACTCTTGTAATTGTATATTGTTTGTCATGTGATGGATGCAAATGTTATGAATATTATAATGAATTTTATTTAATTCAAGAGTCTTGTATTGGCTGACCTGTAGAAAAAGTTTGTCCATTCTGTCAGAAGGGATCTGATTATTATTCATTAGAAATGGGCTGATTTTGCTACTATGATTGTCATTATTTTGATTATTAACCCTTTCCACATACATTGACTTAATCTCTTGGTCAAATGGGCATTTTACAACCAAATCTAATTCTAGTATGCAGGATGGGTGTGTCATCAGTGATGTTTTATAACATCAGGAGGGGTTTTGAGTCTTTCAACATCAGACTCCTTTTCTACATTTGACCCAATCAAAGCTGATTGGATCCTGATCCACCTTCCCACAGCTGGATACCTCTTCATACACCCCCATTTCAATTAATTGGTATCTTGTTTTGTGGTTTTGAATGTTATATGTTTTAATGATATTTCCACCAACCAATGGATTTTGAGACCTTGGTCAACCAGCCTCTATTTAAGCTGTCAGTTTGATTTGGCACATTTTCTCAAAAAATCTGATGAAGTCTCTGCTAAGTTGTATTTTAGACTATTACTTGTTTATCCAGAAGATTTATTTAAAATAATTTCCTGTTATTTTAGACCATGCTAAGAAAAAAGAAAACAAAAAAAACAAATAAATTTGATACAAGATTATTATTTTTCTGTTCATGAACTAACCCTCTTTATCCACAACTATCTTGATAAATTTTTGGTTGCTTCTGTAATCTCATGGATTGTTCTTTTACTGATACCTATTGGTTTGATCTTTGTTTGAGTTTTACATATTGACACTAATTGATGTTTGTGTGAAATATGTTAAGTCAAGAAACATGGTAGCTTCTATGTAGTAGTGACATGCTTTGAAACAAGCTATTTATTTTGATATTTTTCATCAATAGATGATAAAATTTTTATGCCATGACAACCGGGGATAGAATTATGAATGCTTACAAGGTTTTGCAGGCTATTTTTTGACTCTGATGATCTTTTAGAAGCGAGGGTAAAAGATGAATTTAGTTTCAATAATGGCTCAAAGTATAGCAACATTATGCCTAGTGCTTGTATTGTTGATGGAAATCAAAATCAATCAAGAGTCCTGCAACCTAATAGTTTTTTTAGTTATTCTACATCTACTGCAGCTGTAGTAGCGGTGGGTGTATCTAGGGTAGGATAACAGGATGAAACCTGCCCCGCTTTAGGCGAGTTTTGAATTTAGATTTATCCTAGACTGGTTGCCACACAAGATTATAGAACCCCATCTGCTATGCTATTTAACCTACAGCCGTGGGGAAGTGATGGATTCATATTTTTCTTAAGGGCATCTGTATGAAAATGAATGCAACAAACTAGGCTGGAATTTGAACTCAGCTAACCAATTTCACTTTCTGTGCTGATATCCATGACACTACCTGCACACCCACTTGGTCATAATACATACTGTTTATGTTTTGTATTTTTGTGAAGTTTATTTGCATTTGGTTTCCATGGAAATGATCAAAACTCAATAGATATTCACGAATAAAAATATTTCTGTTATGTTGATAGACCATAATATTACCAGAATATATATGAGCAGTTGTTTTGGGTAAATGAATTTAAATTTGAGTTACCTTAAAACTGGTAAAATTTTGGGGGAATAATAATTTTGGAAAGGTTGAATCTTGTTTTATGGCATCAGCTCTCAAAGATGGTAGATGTTTAAAAAAAAATCATATAGTGTCATAGTTTTAATGTTAATTTATAACCTTATTTTTTGGATGATCATCTTTGATAATTACAATTTGTAGCTAAACATGTATCTTTCATAGCAGTTTTTGCTTATAAAATATATTGATGAAAAAACTGTATGAATGTAAAAATGATGAATGTAAGTGCATAATACATACTTGTAATTAACAAAGAACAATTGTGATTAATTTTAGTGTTTATTCACATCATACGTTGAACATTATAATGTGAAGTTACTTTCGTTACTTAATTATAGCCATGCATAAAGTAATAAAACCTTGTGTGATTGTAAGTCTTACTTAGTTAAGTTTGTTGCTATATTTTTGAAGTTTAATTAAATTAAAAAAAAAACTGTTGGCATATTAAATTTATTCCTCTACATATACATGATAAATTTTCTAGAAAATATTCCTGAAATATTACTAGACCAACCAAGATCAAATAAATTATTAGTTCAATAATAAATTTCTGATTGACCAGCCTAGAATTCCTCCTTTACTTTTTATTCTGAAATACAAATCTGTTCATGTTAGTTAATCTGGAAGAACAAATACCAATCTTTATTGATATGATGTTTACACTTTACAATAGCAGTGACTTTTCTGTTTCTTTCAGAAATCACTGTTACCCTATTGGTGGTACCTAAAATACATGACTGCATTGCCTGCAGAGGGATACTCCACTCACTGTTATGAGGCCCCATTTTGTCCTATTTCTTTATTCTTATACTATAAAATACAAAATCTAACTTAAAATGATGACTTAAATCTGTAGCTACTAGATGCCCTTTTTACCATACGAAAAGCTCTCATTCACCAAACCCTTTTAGATTTTGTAAAGAGGATACAAAAAACATATATAAACAGGAGTTTGTACCAACTAGCCAGTTGCCACCTGAACCCACAGCCATGACTATTGAGGTCAACTCCAGTCCTTTTGATTCAAGAACAAAGCTTCGACTGAAAGAATCTAAATTCCTACAGTCATTGAAAAGAAAAGACTATCAGTAAATACTTCACCCCTTTTCTTTGATACTGACCAAATTCTTTTATTTTATATATATGTGAATTAATCAAACTATTTTTAAGAAGAAAATAATATAATTCTTGGACTAGCGACAAATTCCCATCTGTCGCCTTAATCTTAACTACGATGGATTTCTTCTCCCACTCCCTTGTATAGTTTACATGTTAAGCCAACTACTTTCTGGGCTCTCGCATGCTTAGTAACTTGTTAGCATTTCCTAACTTATATTATTTTAAACCTCATCCCTATTGTTCAAAAATATATTGTATTATATGTAAAATAAAATCTGCATTTCGTTACTAGATGTAATCTCCTTTCTTCAACCTTAATTTCTACGAATCTGGTTCTTTTTATTTTGTGTTGTGCCAGCCATAACACCCACCCAAAAAAGAGGTCACCTACTTGTGGATTACATGCAAACTTGGTTATGAATAAAGACCAGTATAAAAAAAAGATTTCACTATTAAATAACTCAATAAAGGTTGATGCCTTAAAATCTCCCAACCCAGAATTTAATGTTTGTAATAAAATGTCAGCAAAATGAGCTAAAAATCAAAAAAATAATTAAGGATTTCAAATGACTTTGGTATAATTTTGTCTGGGTTAACAAAACATGACCATTTAATTATGAGAATATTGGCAGTATACTGTGCTTTATTTCAATTTTTTTCTCTCTTCAGAATATTATTAAAAGGTGCAAATCAGAGATGCAGTTAAATGCAAATAAAAAAAATTAGAAACATTACTGTAATTTTTTTTAAAAGCTTTCTTTTTTTTTTAACCTTTGTAGATTCTTAACACAATTGAAAGTAATCAAGTGACTGTAATCCAGGGTCCCACTGGATCAGGAAAGACAACTCATGTACCACAAATCATTCTGGATTATTATGCATCTCGTAACCAATATTGTAACATTGTAGTCACTCAACCCCGAAGAATTGCTGCCATCAGTATTGCCAAGAGGGTATGCCAAGAACGGCGCTGGCAGATGGGTACATTCTGTGGATATCAGGTGAGAAATTAAAAGAATTCTAAAAATGACAGAGCCAAGCATTTTTATTTTTCTACTATTTTTTTTTCTTAGTATACTATAGTTACACATGATGATTCCAGTGGTGTTATCACAAATGGTTGCTGCTTTATTTTTGTATTTATGCAAACAAAAGTAATTTTTTTTCTTTTTCACTATCTTTCACTAATTTTACCTTTACAAATCTCATCACAGATGAAATTCCAATACTGCATGTAATTTCAAAAGCTGCAAGACATAATGGTTGGTCTGTTAAAAGATTTTTAAGGTTTGAGAAAGTTTTTCTAAATTTGGTAAAAAAAAAAAAAAGTAGTGAAAATTTGTGAAATAAAAAGATATGATTGTGAGCAAGAATATATTGGAAGAGCAACAGAGCAGTTACTCTTTGAAATCATCTTACAGTTAATTGAAGCATGAAATATCATGTGGTCTTAGTGTACTCACTAAATGAACCAAAATATGTTTTTGCTCCAATAACTAGTTCTTACAAAATGAAGTAGTTATTTTTGTTAATTTGCTTTATTGTGGTTTTTATTTCAGGTTGGAATGGATCGACAAGTGAATCCCAACACTTGCCTGACTTATGTCACAACTGGTGTTCTTTTACAGAAACTAATTAACTTGAAAGAAATGAACAACTATACTCATGTCATTTTGGATGAGGTTGGCATTGTCTTCTCATTTTGGATTTTTTTTTTTTCTTTAGAAATGTTTCATTTTCAAATTTTTTACTAGTTTTTGCATTGTATTTTTTTTTTAAATTGTTTTGTTTTATATTTGTATGCTTTGATAATTTAAAAAATTTCACCCATATTTGTATATGAACTTTTCATTTTTTTTTTTTTAATAGTTCCTCATTCTTTTTTTATCTTAAAAATTACTTGAATTACTATTTTCTTTTTTGAGTTTATGTAACAATTTCAAAAACAATGTTTTTTTATTTTTCAAAATATTTTCAGACTTTTAATGCTAAAGTTATGAAAGATTTTTTTCCTAGAAAATGATCAAAATTTAATTCATTTGAAAATCTAAATCATGCAAATATTTCTGCTGATTAATGATAATGCTAGTAGATATTAATAATACTCTTAAACGTTGTTGTGCTTTTGTATTTTTAGATTCATGAAAGAGATCAAGATACAGATTTCTGCATTTTGGTTGTACGTAAATTGTTACGCAGCAATTCAAGAGGTGTGCGGGTGAGTATTCAGACTAACCAAAGTTTTTACTTTTATTATGCACTTTCAGAAGAGTGTTGTGAACCTTTTGACTTTATTAAAAGACATTTTTTTTGTAATTTTACTTTAGTTGTGTTTTCCATCAAACCAATTTGACTTGTCAAATATTGTTGGCTTATTGGATTAAATGAATCCTTTGATTTAGTATGACTGGTTAACTTTTATTTATGATGAATATATTTTAGGTCTTACTTTTTTTAATGTGTAGAGGTGCTTTATAATATTAGTGTTATGTTTGTATATTACTTTGACCAAATTCTGATATATAACAAGATTAAATGATACTTTCTGTGATTTTTGAGAAGAGTCATTATTCCAAGACTCATTTAAATATGATCTTATTCTTTTGTTTGCTACACTGATTTGGTTGATGAATTCTATAGTCTTTTACAAGTTTACAATCTGTAGAAAGAAAGATGATGGTAGTAGTGAAATCTTTAATGTGATTTTTTTTTTTTTAATATATATCATACTTTATTTTCCATAAAAAAAATCCACATTAATAGCAATGAAGTTTGCATCTTCTCTCTTCTCTTTATAATATATATATAGTGAAGCCAAAAACGTCTGTCAGTGTGATACTGAGAGAAAAGGCATTCAAGCAATCAGTCTTTGCAATAAAGTGCTCAATATCAGAGATATTAATAGAATTAATAGAAATATAAAATTTATCACTTAGCTGTATGATGTTACCTTCAGCATCTTGACTCCGGTGACCCCACCCCCAAACAAGAGGACAGTGTTATCTGGAGGGGCCATCTACGAAACTCCAGAGTTGAAGGTAACACCAATCAGCTAAGTGACAAATTTTATATTTCTTTATATATAATATATATATATATATATATATATATATATATATATATATATGGAAATTAATGGTGTCTTTATCTGACATTATTTCTTACTACATCATACATTATCTTGTGGGATAACCATGTTTCATTAGACGCCCTGTTTTCTAAACAGTGTGAATTATCTCTACCAGCCTGCACATTCAAGAGACTTAATCAAGAAAATGTCTTCTTTAGCAGGAACAAGAGAATGTACATTCTTCAAAAGGGCTAAATTGAACTTTGCTATACTGTGATATTCTCTACAGCCTAGTGGTCTAAAGCATGCTGGATCAGACTGGTTGCTCCTACAAAGAAGAATATAGGTTGAAAGCAAATTTCCTTTACTGAGTCTCTCAGTTGTGGAGGCCAGTAGATGTCATTTAAGAAAAAGGGCATCTAATCAAACATTGGTATCCACAAAATAATGTTTAGATTAGTAAGAGAGAGAGAAAACCAGAAAATGGTAACCAGTTATGCTTAATTGTGTGCAACACAGGTGATTCCTTGTTTTATTTGAGGAGTGGGGGTTGCTTTCCAATTCTTTCCTTTTTGAAGAAATCTGCACTAGCCTGACTTAAGTCTTTTTCAGCAAGTCTAAAGTATGCAGTTTCTCTGTCTTCAGTAAAGTTCCTTATTTATAACTTGGAATTTATTCCAGGTGGCGGGGGGTAGTATGGTTCCCTTTCTCTCCAAACATGGTCTACCATACCAAATTTGTTATACTTTACTTTTGGATATAGCTTTCTTATATTTCCTAAGTTTAAATTTTAGACAGATTTACACCTGAAAATGTAAAATAATTTTTATTATAAAAAAAATATCAGTCAAAATGTTATGGTAGCAATAAAAGTAAAAAAAACAAAGAATGAAAATAATATTCTGAATTACTCTCAAGATTGTGAGATTTATTATTTCTGAGAATATACCCTGTTGGTCAGCAATATATAAAAAAAATAATCACATAGCTGTCTTTATTTTTAATATTATTTTTCAATCCTTAAGTAGCTTATTCAGTTTTCTGAAAAATGTTTTTAACTATCCTTAAATGTCTGTGAATTTCTGTATCACACTTTTCATTGCAATTGCAGTAAAACATAACCTGCCTGCTAAATGGCCAGTACATGACTGAAGGCATAATCTACAGAGCTAGGATCAATTCAGACAACAATGTTAAATATTACTTTGGTTGCACTGAGATCAACTAGAAATTGCATTTTTACCATCATCAAATGATGCTAAACAATATTAAATACAAAAACTGTACAACACTCTCAAAGTATTTTTGGTGATTAAAAAATCAACTATAAGAACCTTTTCCATCAGATGTAAGATAGTCGCAAAAGCTAAATAATACTATCAAAATAATCAGAATAAGTTATTTTAAAACACTTAAATAACTTACTGAATAAAAGAAGTGAATTGATTACAACATATATATATATATATATATATATATATATAAAAGTAAGTACCTACCCAAGCACACTGACCCCAATTAAAATAGTTTTTATGAATATTAATATAATATGTAATAACTATTAATGTACATAGCACCCATCATTTTTTATATATCTATAAACACACATAATTCCATATTATAGATCGTACTTGGATTATTTTATTACGTGCATATATGTAATTTCACCTTTGTAAGTATAAGGCTAAGTTCCAAATATATCGTCTTAACCTATAAATAAGTTAACATCATGAGAGCTAAGTTTATTCCATAAGACATTACTTATAATATATTTTAATAAGCACCAACTATTTCTATTACAACTAATGATGGTTTTTTATGCAAAAACGGGAGTTATTCCCCTTTATAAATAGCGTGTTTACGTAAATCCAAAGTTTTTAAAAATTATTTTAAATAATTTTTTTTAATTTTAATTTTTCGTCTTTCAAATCTAAGAAATTGCCAGATATAAATTATAAATAATTAAATTAAATTATTATAGACAACGATAATAAAATGAACAAGTCTAAACACACAATTTTAAATCAACATCAGAGGAATGCAAATTTCATAACACTTAACAGGCAGTGAGTATTCTGCACCTGAAGATTATGTATTCACATGAAACTCGGTGAATCTTGGTCTTTTCTTACAATGTATCACCCTTTTAATGTGCCTTTAGTTTTGTAAAGCAATTATATAAATTGGTATTTTTCAAGCAATAAAATATAAACAGTTGCCTCAAAACCCACTTGAACCACAAATGTTCAATATTCATGTCAATTCATATCCAACAAAAGGAAAACGAAATTGCAAAAAATTCAACTCTCAAGACTGTGTTAAAAATAATAAACAATGAAAAGTGTGATACAGAAATTCATAGACGTTTAAGGATAGTTAAAGACATTTTTCAGAAAACTGAATAAGCTACTAAGAGATTGAAAAATAATATTAAAAATAAAGACAGCTATGTGATATCCACCTTCCTATATATGTAAGTTGAGGAGTGGTACGGCAATTGTTAAAGGGAGGTAAGAAAGAACTGACAGTGGTTAACTCCCTTGAATATTTCAGCTACAAGTCTTGAAATTGTTAATCTTGATTATTTGTTTTCTATATTGCTGACCAACAAGGTATATCCTCAGAAATAATAAATCTCACAATCTTGGGAGTAGTTCAGAATATTGATCTCATTCTTTGTTTTTTACTTTTATTGCTATCATATCATTGACTAATTTTGACTTGACCCAAAGAGTTGTGAATTTAATACTGGCAGAGTGAACAAAAACTTAGAGAGTTGAGTTAATAAAGGGAAATAGCTGAAACTGGGAATCCAGAAAAATTTACTCCAATAAAGGGTGTAGTTTGAAATTCCAATGTATATCATCTGAAGTAGACTGGAGTGTACAATGGCTGAAATGTCATGAATATATCTATAAAGATGAGGGACAACAGTCTGAACAATGTAAATGGTGTAAATAAGTAAAAGGATTTTAGATATTTCCTTTTCCCCAGGGGAGAACTGGACATCACTTTTATATATTGGTTGCATAGCAGTTGGTGTTAGCATTGCAATTGGAGCAATCAGATTAAAATGTAAATAAGGAATAGAAATTATAGAAGGACAATATATCGTATAAAAGTAGATCAACTTTTAAAGAATTGATCATTATTTGAAAAAAAAATTTACTTTTATATCTTGTTAAATTGGCAGGTTGTACTTATGTCTGCTACTCTCGACGTGGATAGGTTTGCTAATTATTTTGCTCAACCACTTGGTGAAGTATTTGAACCTGCGCCTGTCATTTCCGTGGATGGTAGTATATTCAGTGTCTCTGAATATTATATTGAAGATCTTAGCCAGCTAGGACCGGTGAGTTGCTTTTTTTTTTTTTTTATTTGATTTTTTGTTTTTAGCATATCACAAATGACAAAAAAGATAAAACTGTATTGGAGAATTTCTTGCCATTACTTTTTTTTTTTTTTTTTTTTTGGTAATATTATTAGAGTATGAAGAAATTTTGTAAATATTCAAGATTGATATAAAATATTAATCAAAATAGGAAGAGAAAATGTGAAAGAAGTTTCTGAGACTGTTCAGAGAATGTATCTTGTATTTAATTAGTTTAAGGTGCTTTTTATTTATTTTATCTTTATATTATAACCTGTTGTGTAATTGGCAAAATTCTTAAACAGAATGACAAAGTTCTCAAACAATAAGAACAAGAAAAATAATACTAAGCAAACAATATATATATAAATCAAAACTAGGCAAAGCAACAGTAATAATGCAAAAAGTTCACAAAGTAAGAATTGTGTTCACATGCAAAAGTAATTATAGTGTTCTGACTTCAAGACAAGTAAGAACAAAAATATGGCAAATGAGAACGAGAATTGGTTTATTTTTATTGGTTAGGAAGAAATCCCAGCAAGTATCTTTGAGATTTGTCTATAAATTTGTTAGAGGGATATTCTTAGCAGTCATTCCCAGAGGAAACTTTCCTCCCCTGTCAAACGAAGAGATGAATGCGCTTATTTCTTTTCCCTTATCCCTTTCACAAGAGTCAATAAATATAAAGAAAATACAAATAAAATATTTACAATTTTTTTTTTTTTTTTTCTTTTAATCTTTTAACATCTCAAATTTTTTAATATCACAAATTTTTTTATTTGGCATTTTTTACATTTTTATTTTTAAATTACAATTTTCTTTTTCTTTTTTAAATCACAATTTTCTTTTTCTTTTTTAAATTCCGATTTTCTTTTTATTTTTTAAAGTATATTGTTTTTTATTAGATATTTTTTTTAATCATAAAAGGGGAGGAAAAAGTGGTGGATAAAAAGTTCAGGATTGTACTCCATTTAAAGCATTAAATTTTTTTTTTATTTTACTCTATTGATAGGCTTTCTAAATAAATGGTGACATTTTGCTCTGGAATATAGTCTAACTATATTTGTGCCATTTAGAACGCTTTATAAGGTGGTAATTTATGTCAATATCTTTTGAACACTGGTGATAGATAAGGTTTTTAGCTAGAGATATAGTACCTTGCCCATTTTCATTTTAATTAATCATGGTGTTTAATAATTGAATATGAAATTTTGCTTCTTGTATTATGGTTGCTAATACCATGTATTCTGCTTAGCATTTTGACAATGCTACAATAAGTTGTTTTCTCATTTTCCAAGAAATCATAGAACTCACTGTTTCATGATACTTGAAAACCATACATTCTGATACTATAGAAATCTTTTGAATTTCCCCAATCAGTAGAAAAGGCCTCTTAAGGGCTTAGTGGATTTATTAAACACTAGACAGTGTGTTTTTGTGCCTTTTTTAAATAGTGTCAAACTTGTTTGTCTCTTATCGAGTGATCTGTGGTTAGTTTTGTTGAATATTGTGATAATTTTTTCGCAACATAACATATCTGGACAAGTTGCAGTCATATTAGATTACTGATGGTTTCTTCATAATATTTTTTATCTGCTGGTTCAGCATTGTTTTTGTTTAATATAGTGATATCCATTTCGCATGGCACTTATTGAAGTTTACAATCATGCATTCCTAATTTGGAAAGAATATTTTCTATATTTTTTGTTTGATTCGTCACTATAGGGTTATTTTTAAATGTAAATTGTAAACCTAGAAAGAAAAAAAGAAAGCTATCAAAGATCAATAATTTTGAATTATTCATGTTTTTACATTGATTTGAAAAAATTTTTTTTTAATCACATCAAGCAAGGCGGAAATGCCACTAGTATGCAGGGGGTTACAGGGAGTGAAAGTGGGAGAAATAGACTGGGCATAGAGAGGATTGAGGAAAGGACAAAAGATGAACAGGATTCAAGACGACAGCAGGTGGTGATTGATGTTTCATTTAAATTTTTGAAGATTTAGTTCTCAGGGAAGCAAGTAAACAGGAGTTTCATGTGCGAGAAGTGCAAGAAAAGAAACTGTTGGAGTAGAAGTGGCAGTTGCATTTAGATATCTCAACAGTAAATGGGTAGAACCCAGATGCCAATCTAGTAGCAAGCTTAAATTCATGCAGTTGGGTCACCAAGGATAAAAGCTCATCAGAGCAGTTGTCATGAAAATATTTGTAGAAAAGACAGAGGAAAGCCACACCACATCAGTGAGAAAGTGACTGAAGTTGAGATGCCAAGTCAGGATAGATTACATTACAGATCCTTCTTTGGATTTTATAAGAACCTTGAGATGAATAAGATTTTTAAATGTGTAAAACTGACTCTGATGTGAAAAATTTTCTGACACAACACAGAGACCCAACTTTCCTTGCAGTAGATGCAGCTATTGATTCGATGTAGTTGTTCTACTGCAAGTCAGTTGAAAACATTAGGTCAAAAGGTGAATTGTGTTGTTCTCCCAGACTCTAGTATCCATTATACTGATGGCAGACAGAAAAGTTTCTCAATGGTTGTTAAATGAGATTTATAAGCCATTTCCTACCCCACAAAGATTGATGAAGATCAGAAACAGTGTAGGTTCCAGTATAAAAGCTTGGGAGATACCTATGTTTGTGTGAAAGTATCTGAAAGCGAACCTGTTCAAAATGACCTTCATTTTACGATTTGATAGGAATGACTGGATTAAATCAAGCATTCGTCCTGAGATACCATAGCCCTGGAGTTTGCGTAGAAGACCAGCATACTAAACTCTAACAAAAGCCTTCAAGATAACTAGAACCACAGCTTGAGCTTTGCTGCTGTGATCAAGAGCTTGATACACACATTCAGTGATGGCTGTTAACATACCAATGGTAGACCTGGTGAAATGAAAGCCATATTGTTTGTCTGAGAGGAGGTCATGAGAAGTAAGATGCTTAACCATTTCAGCATTAATTAGAGCCTCAAATACTTTGCTGAAAAGCAGTAAGAGACTAAAAGGGTGATGATTTGAGGGATCAGAGGGTTCTCCAGGGTTCTTAAAGACAGGAGCTACAGAGGAGGACTTCCAACAAGCTGGAAGGCAGGAAGCAATGTGGCAATTGTAGAGTTTGGAGAGAACTGGAGTACAGTTCTTTAGGATGACGACTGGGATCCCGTAACTGCTACTTGCCTTATGGGAATATTTGGAAATGATGTCTGAAACCAGTGGCAGGGTTATGCACATATCACTCAATAGAGCCTCTTTTCTAGTGGGGAAATAAGGTGTGGGTACTCCAGATGAGTTGAGTGGAGTTGGAAGAGAACTTCTGAGCAAAGTACTCAGCTTTATCTACTGTAAATGTCAGGACTTCAAATTGATTGAATAGAAGAGGCATTGACAATTTGCTGTTGTGCAATACACTCTTGCAGAGCTACCAATAATCACTATAACCAAACTTGTGAGAGTCTACATGTGGTTTTATTCTGTCAGTAAACAGTAACTTCGCTTCTTTGAGGACTTGATTGCACTCATTACAAGCAGAGACAAATAGATGTCTGTTGCAATCAGATATGTCACTCTGGTACAGCTGGAAGAAGTGATTCCTGTGGGCTATAGCAGCTGATGAATATGGTTTCACTTGGTATTTCTGTACTGGAATCAAAGCTTCGATGCCTGCTTTCACACAGAACTCAGAGCCAAATTTTTGGACAGGATCATTAAGAAAACTTAATTCCAAGAGACGTCACAAAGGAAGTCATGGAGCAAATCCTGATCAGCTTGTTAATAACAGAAAGATATCCTGTTGGTAGGAGGTTCTTGGCTTCGTGGGAGAGTGGAAATAGATGTTTACAGACACTACTGCTTGATCAGAGTTGCCAAGAGGGCAGAGCTGCAAAGTACAACATGAGTCCGAGATAGAGGCAAAAAAAAGATCTAGAAGAGAAGTGTGTCCAGCAGGATTACTGGGAAAATGTGTGGGGAAGTCCACCACTTGCATGAGATTAAGTGATTGAAAAGTTCAGGGTTTGGATGCTAGTGAGGTGAGTGACAGTGATTAATCCACCTGTCATTGTGAGCATTAAAGTCACCAAACACTAATATAGTTAAAACTGGTGTATAGAGATTAACACAGAATTATACTATGCAGCAATGAGGATGTTGTCAACCCAAATAACTGTAATCAGTATTTTTTTAAGAGTAGAAGAGAAAGTTTCATGATAAACAATTCTGCATATTTGCAAGTAACCTTTAGTAACAAACTAAGACTTGTATTGTTTGTTGCCATTTTTTATTTTTAATAGTATAGACCCAGCGATTTCAAATGAGTTTTACCCATCGGGAGTGTAGTTAATTCATATATATTGTTCATTTTTAGAGCATTTATTTCACTTTCCATGGCCTCGCATCATTTTGTAGTCAATTGAAGTCACAGCTTCATATTAGTATTGGGTATATATTTTACAGAACAGCAATAATCTATAGTGTGACTTACTACATTGTTCAAATTTTCAACAACGTTTTAAGTATTCAGGCATTTTTTGCAAACTGCTTGGATATCTTATGTTTCTTAAAATAAATGCTATTCCTTTTAAAAACAAAAGACAAAAAAAAAAAAAATCAGAATTACATTATTTTGACAATAAATGTGATTATTTCATTTTGCTCACATTTATCACATAGGAAGCAGTGATTTTTGTAAATAACATGAGTTATCTCCCTTGATATTTATGTAATTTATGTGTTTCCATATTGCACTTTGGTCAGACATATGACAAGTGAGTTTACATGAGCAGGTTGTTGCATAAATAAGGTGTTCTTTTTTTAATTATTTTTCAGAGATACAATCTTCAATAGAGCAAGTAAATTTGTAAACCACATTTGTCTTGGCTAGAGGATTTGAGTGTATTAACTACTAAATTAAATTATTTTTATAATAGATTATAAACCATAGATTTTATTATCTGTAATCTGTATGTATCTATGGATTATATTTTTATAACTATTTCATCTTGTTTACTGTTTGAGTGCATTTGATTGCAATAGAATAAATTGATGGTGGTGGCATTTCTATAATGTTTGGCATTATTATAAGTCTTACTAATCCTCCTTAAAACTTCATCAATATCATTTGGTATGTAGTAGTATGTCCAATATAATTATTCATGGATTTAGTTTGATCAAGAATGTAGTTCCTTAAGGGACATATGAATTGATAAATAATATTGATTCTCTGTAATTTAGATCTTGCAGGTGAGTTCTGGTTAAGGTTAGCTGTTTTAAATTTTTTATAATAGATAATTTAATTTTCATGTTCTTTTCCACTGATTGTGGATTTCTTTATAATGTTTCTAAGAGAAAATTCCTCTTGCTTATAGTTAATGTGTATTTAGTTTTTATAGAAAATGTTAATACTATTGTTTTTATCTGTATGGTCAGTGTTGCTATTGGTTACCTTAGAAAGAAATAGTCTAATTTGGTGATCAATGAGGTATGTAAGAAAACTTTTATTAACTAGTGTCTTTCAAAAAAAAAAAAAAAAACTGCTCAAAGTATCTTTTGCAGTTTTCTAGAGAATTGAAATTATTTGTCATTAATAGAATTTGACAAAGACTGAAATAAATGGTAATCTAAAAGTACAATATCTGTTGAATAAAGACAGATGAGTGAAAGCTTTCCCACTAAGCTGTAATAATTTTTAGCTAGTCACCAAAGAAATATTCAGTCTAGTGTTATCCTGATGGAATCTTACACTGTTTCATGTAATTAATTCCGCAAACTTTTCACTGATTGCTGCTTTCATTCTTATAGGGTACAGTGTTTGTTCAAATCAATCATATTTTTCTCTATAAGGAGCTCAGCATAAAGGTCTCTCTCTTTCCAATCCCTTCATAAACAGAACATCACTTTATCACTTTGGTTCAATTAACTGATTAATTTTGCTGGCTCTGCCATCTTGTTTCACATTGTATAAACATAAACATTTAATCATATATTACAAAACATTCTTTTCAAAAAACAAAACATTTTTAAGTTGTGATTTGCATCCAGAAATACATGCCAGTATAGTTACCTATTTTTAAAGTAACATAGCAAAACTGATGCAAATGATTTTCACTGCTTGTTTAGGATATTTTGAGTATCTTCCATGTTGTATAATGTTGATTATTTGCTGATAATGTCTCGATTTTATCTGACAATAAAGTGTGGTTTAGTAAAAAATATCCATGAAACTTTACAGACCACTTTTGATATGTTCATTTATTCACAGAACCTTCTCCATAAATTACATAGATTAATTTTTGTCTGTTTCAAGGTTTTTAGCTTTCTTAAGACATTGTTGATTATTTTCTTTCATTGTTATTGTTGAAGTCAGTAAACAAAAATAAGCCAATTTTGATAATGAAAAAGAAAAAATGCCTACTGACATAACAACTGCTGCAATGTAACCAAGTGATTGTTTTTAATGGCAATTTCCTCTTACAAGAAAAACAGAACAAACCTTTTAGCTTATTTAGTATTTGTTATGTGGCTTTCTAAAGAGAATCTCAATTTTTATTTTTAAATTTACTGCAGTGAGTGCACATCCTAAATCAAATTTTAATTCTACCTCATAGTATTATTTTTTGCATATCATTTGTAAAAACAAGATTAAAGAATTTCATTTTATTTTTGATTTACAATTTATCCTATTCACATCTTTTGTAAATATACAAATACACTCATTCAAATTGATGGTAAAGATGATTTATTGACAGATGAATATTAACTTATAAATTATAAGTTTGTTTAAATGATACTTTGCTTAGTAATGAGATTAATATTATTTGTTTGTGAAATATGCATCTTGATTTGATGGTCTTATATATATATATGTATATTTATTATTTTTTAATTTTTTTCAGTTACCTAGGTTGGACCCTGAAAATCCTCATATAACTGAAGAGGCTCAGAACTTAGCAATTAAATTGATCCAACATTTTGATAAGTTGGAATCTAAGGAACAAGGGTAAGAAAGAAGAAAAAAAAATACAATCTTTATCCTATCTTGGAGAACTATTCTGTAGGGATTTCTTGCATGAACATTTAATTTAAAAAGAAAATATCAAATTTATGAAGCTCTGACTTTAATTTTTGTTAAAATGTTAAACATTATTAAATGAACTTTATTTGAAAAGACTGATAGAAAAGTGGAGGAGTTTTAAAACAATTTTTTTAAAACTTGGCTTCATATTTTGAATATACATTTTAAAAAAATCAAAAATTTAGTTCCTATCCCACAGATACAAGTTTTTTGTTACTTTATCATTATTTCCATGATGACTGTTCTGACGAGTTACATTCATTATTTCTGCCAGTTCTGACCTTCATAGCTAAGACCTGCCATATCTTGTACACTGGAAAAAAATCATCTTCATTCCTTTTGTATTCCTTTGGTAAGAAGAAAGTTTAAATCGGATAGCTTCTTTCCAAAAATCACTATTTCATGGAACAGACTCCTGAAAGGATGCTTCTTTGATTACTACAATCTTAACCTCTTACAGTCTTGGGTTAAATGTTCACTTTCATACAAATCCTCATAAACTGCATTTCTTATTTAATCCTCTTACATGCATCACTCTTAATAAGTAACTTTCTACCTTGAGTGGCTCTTAGTAAAAAAAAATATTTTTATGACATAAGCAAAACGTATTTAGTGATACTTGTCTTTCATTACTAACATAGCAGCTTTGTTGAGAAATTAGAAAATCTTTTTAAAAATTTGTTCAGTGCTTTTAGAAAATTGAATTATATTTCTCTCCAAAATTTCACTTTCCCCCGTCACTGCCCCCATGATTAAAACCCCATATATTTCTCTTTTCAGAGATAAATATTTTGACTCTGCTGTGCATGGGACTGTCTTGATCTTTCTGCCTGGTAAGTTGAATTAATTTCTTAAAATAAATGCTATGCCTTTTAAAAACAAAAAAAAAAACCCAAAAATCAGAATTACATTATTTTGACAAAATAAATATAATCATGGAGCTTGACAGCCTGGGAAGGCAGTTCCCGTTGGGGAATGTAAACCCTTATTTCAAACCTCCACTGTCTTATGGATATATCCAGCCATAGAAAAGCCTTCAGGAGTAAACCTCGAGGAAAAATCCAGAGACGTAGTCCCCGAGGCAGTTTGCCGTTGTACCCAACTCATTCTGGCAGCTCTCAAACTGTAATGACCTTGTTGTTCCTTTGGCCTAACCAGTGACATGGAGAAGGGGGATGTGCTACAAGGGCAACAGTCTGTCCTCCATATTACATTGCTTAGGCTTGCATCTTACCACACCACACCACACTGCACCAAAACACCCTGCACTACACCTGGAGAGGACACTCCAGCTACGCGTTTGGTGTTGACACAATATGAATAATGGCAGTTACTGGTTATAAGCTACCACTTGATTGGCATAGAGCACAGTGCCAGGGGTCATTCTCATTGGTGGGAGAGATTTTCAGATTTCACTGGACAGCTACTGCCTGCCTCAAGCTGGGCAGCCCCCAGCCAGTTAGGTGTTGCCCTGCCACAGTCTGCCTTCTTCATTGGGTGCATGGAGATTAGGAAAGATCCGATAAGCAGACTGCAACCTTCGCATCAGACAATAAGAATTTACAAAAAAAAAATCAGCTCTAAAACTGGACTGTTGGAATGTCTGGACTATGCTGACTGGCCTCTCTGAAGCAACTCCAGGAAAACTGCCATCATCAATGGTGAGCTCAAAAGGCTTCATGTAGGCATCGCCACCCTACAGGAAATGCATCTGGCTAAATCTGGATCACTGAAGGAGAAGAACTACACATCCTTCTGGCTTGGGAAGAGCTCTGACGAACCATGCCAACATGGAGTGGGCTTCACAGTGAGGAACAGCCTGCTGAATATGGTAGAACCAGGCAGACACCACTGCAGGCCCTATCACCCTAGTCAGCATGTATGCCCTAAAACTCTCTGCCACACCAGACACCAAGGATGAGTTTTATGACAAGCTGGCAACCACCATCAGTAGTATCCCCAGCAAGGAACAACTTGTTCTCCAGGGCGACTTCATTGCCAGAGAGGGTGCTGATCATGACTCTTGGTCTTTGTGTCTTGGACAGTTTGGCGTTGGCAAGATGAACGACAACGGCCACAGACTGCTCAAGCTGTGCACTTATCACAACTTGTGCATAGCCAACTCCTTCAGGACCAAGCCCCATCACAAGGTCTCCTGGAGACATCCACGCTCAAAGCACTGGCCCCCCAAGGGGGCCACCTGTTTGCCGTGGGTGGCGACCCGTGATGTTGGGGGACGGGACCCTGGTGGCTGAGCAGGTCATGACCCAGGTGATAAGTGGTCATTAACTGCAACACTCCACTTTGGCCTTACCTGAGCTAGACAGGCGGTCGAGAGGCCCACTCGATCAATCGGCTGGTCATGACAAGCCCTAACACTCAACCCCCCAAAAAAAAAACTTGTGTATTAGTATAATTGCCAATTTATCCTCCAAAAAAAATGACATTTATTAAAAAAAAAAAAAATATATATATATATATATATATATATATATATATAATAATAATAAACTCCCCACATGAGTGTTGGAAGGCGGTGGCTAAGGGTCAATCGATTCTGAGGAAGAAGGCCATAACATGGCTGTATACACCCGAGGGCATCACTGGACTTGGCCAGCGAAGCCAAAGGAATGCAGGTGCTTGTGGCTTCCACTGGATACGAGTATACCTTTCCTGTAGCCCTGATGTGCCAGGGCGAATGGGTTTCCCCCTGGCATCTCCCATAAAATTGGACTCCGAGGTGGGTGGGGAGCAGGAATGGCAAACAACACCTAAAAAACAAATGTTTCCAAAGAAATCCACCAAGAGACCACATTTTGAAAGCTCTGACAGTGAGCCAGAAATAATATATCAAAACACCCTACATATATGGTAATCCAATCAACTGAAGATATACCTATAACTAAAATATCACCTTTCAAAATCGAACAAATACTTTCTAAAAAATAAAACCAAAAACAACAAAAAATTAACAAAACGGAACAATTCTAATCGAAGTTCAAAAAACACAAGTGGAAGAAATCCTAAGATGGGAAACTTTCAACAACATCAAAATTAAAACCTCCCTCCACCAAACCTTAAATTCATCCAAAGGCGTAGTGAAAAGCTCTGAATTATCACTATGCACATTAGACGAAATAAAAACAAATTTAAAAAACCAAAATGTAATAGATATCAAAAGAATAAGTATAAAAAAAAATGGAGAAACTATAAACACAAACACATACATATTAAATTTTAATATCCCAAAACCCCCTAATGAAATTAATGTAGGGTACATAAAAATAAAAGTTGAGACATATATACCGAATCCACTTAGATGTTTCAACTGTCAGAAGTTTGGACACCACCAAGATAGGTGTACTAGACCCCAGTATCTTGGAAGATGCGGTGAAAATAACATAAGACACACTGACTGTCAGAAGGAGGCAAAATGCACTAACTGCAAAAAAAAATCACCCAAGAATTCCAGAGATTGCGAAATCTGGAAAAAGAAAAGGATATTTCAAAATAAAATATACTCAAAATATTACTTTCCCAGAAGCAAGGAAATTAATAAACACTGTGACATACACAGAAATATCAAAAAGACATATACCAAACCCAAACCAACAAGGACACCAAACATACGAAAATAATCAACCTATAACAAAACCTGAAGTAGTTACTCAACTTATGAACGAGATGAGAACTCTAATCCAAGAAATGAAAACCATTATAAAAACAATCACAGAAAACAAACAACTCTCCAAGGAAAACTCAAACACCAAAACATCAACAAACCAAGAGACACAAGCAAAGCCTAACAAGGAGAACCAAAAAGTACTCTCTTCTGAAGTGGCCTCTACCACTAGGCCATCACAGACTTCACCCAATAGGGAAACTATAAAAAAAAAACCCTGATGGGCAGGAGCATAAAAATAGATCAAGATCAACCTCAAGAACAAGAACTGCCCCAAAAAATAAATAAATTTGAGGCATTGGAAATAATGGAAACGGAAGATGAGACCCCACAACTAAGCAAAACCCAATCAAGGAAAAAATCTAACCTCAAAACAAATCCTGCCAAAAAATTAAAACATGGCTCCACAAGTAATCAAACATCAAAATATCCATAAGATAATCCAAGGAACTGCCGTAGCCACAAATTAAAATATAATGAGCTACCACTATTAATAGCTAAACAAAATCCTAACATCAGACACATTCAAGAACCACCCCCAAAAAAAAAGCATGGGAAAAAAAAAAACATACTACTATGCGGAACCATGACTAATAAAATCATCCAATGGAACATAAGAGGTATGAAACCAAACATAAATGAACTACTGCTTTTAATTGGGAACCTATGTCCAATGATAATATGTTTACAGGAGACTTTTCTGAAAGAGAATGACAATGTAAAAATTAATAATTTTACCTCATATAACTATATAAATAATAATACAGATAGAGCCTCAGGCGGCACATCCATACTAATTAATAACAAGATCCCTCAACGCAGAATAGATCTTGACACAAATCTTCAAGCTGTAGCTGCATCAGCCACTTTACATCGTACCATAACAGTATGCTCTATATACATACCCCACATGATCAGGTTATCGACACGAATTAGAGCAACTGTTGCAGCAACTCCCTAGGCCATTCATTTTATTGGGTGACTTTAACAGTCACAACATCATATGGGGATGCAAAGAAATAAACAAAAAGGTAAAATCCTGGAAAGGATTGTTAACGAAAAAACGATCTATGCATACTCAACACGGGCACTCAAACATATATAAACCAATTTAGTGGAATACCTCTGCCATTGATTTAACCATATGTGACCCATCTATCTATATGGACTACACTTGGCAAGTACATGATGATACTTGTGGTAGTGATCACTTCCCAATACTTCTAAATAACACAAAGCCTAATGGAAAAAAATGCCCCGTTGGAAACTAGACAAAGCTAACTGGGAAAAATTTGAAGAAAAATGCAAAGAAAAACTAATACACAAAGAGTCAAACAATGACACAATAGAGTATTTCACTGAAACACTGAACTCTATAGCAGTAGACAGTGTTCCCAAGACTACAACTCCAAATAAACGAAACAGACCCTGGTTCAACAACAAATGCCAAAACAATTAAACTGCAAAAAAAGAAGCACTAAAAAAATTCCAAAAAGAACCAATAACATCCAATCTGATGGAATACAAATCAAACAGAGCAAAGGCACGAAAAAGATAAAAGCAGCAAAAAGAGAATGCTGGCAGAATTATGTCAGCAAATTGAATTGCTCAACTAAACCAAAGGCAATTTGGGAAATGATCAAAAAAAATTATGGGCAAACAAGAAACAACACCAATAAAACACCTCTCAAAAGACAACTCCATAATAACAGATAAAAAAGCTATAACAGAATTGCTAGCTGAAACCTTTGCCAAAAACTCATCCAGTCTGAATGGTACAAAAGAATTCATAACCATCAAAGAAGATGCAGAAAATGTAAACTAAATTTTAAATAAAAAAAATCTTGAAGATTATAATAGTTTATTGACACTAAGAGAATTGAAAGACTCTATAAAAAAATCCCATAATTCTGCTGTAGGCCCGGATGAAATCCACTATGAGTTTTAAAAAATTACCAGAAGAATCACTAAAATTCCTTTTAAAAATATTTAACAAAATATGGACAGAAGGAAGGTTCCCAGATATATGGAGAGACAACAATGATACCAATTCCCAAACCAAAAAGAGATGGCTTGGACCCACAAAACTATCGACCTATCTCTTTAACCAGTTGCTTGTGTAAAACAATGGAAAGGATAATAAACAACAGG